TCTTTCCATATGTTTGGAAAGTATTGAGTTTTCAGTTGTGCGTAGCATAAATCTTTTATAAATATTATTTTCATATCTCCGAATAATTTCTCAAGAACTTTTAATAACAACTACTTATGAAAGCTATTCATGAGCGGCAAAACAAACATTTGACAGAGATTGCAGCGAAAAAATGGGAAAGGGGTAGTGACACCACAGTTTTATACATTCGCTCAACGAGAATCAAATACACACACTGCCACCACTGTGACATGAGCTGCGTGGCAGGTGGCACCGTTCCACTAGGAATAAACGACAAATTTCCTTCCTTCAATTTGAGTCAGTCATTAATGTTCGAATCGGTTCTCTGTAACGTTCCCTATTCTCAAAAAAATTGGGCATCAGTGCGATTGAAAAACATGCAAAGTTTTTTACATGCGGGTAGATAAGAAGACTACAAAGGCAGTGTTCGCAGATGCAAATCTCACTGCACAGAGTATAGTTAACCGTACCTACACTGAACGCTAACCAATTGCGCATGGCCTATCTCTTTCTCTTTCCTCACTTGTTTCTGATTAAAAGAAAATTGCGACATGATGTGTTTATGCCACCATTCCTCTCGAGCCCTTGACCAGATATGTGGCCATTTACTTTTTCTAAGCATGTTTTGGCAATTTTGTGCTCATATCTACGACCCATGTCGTCCTTAAGACGTTGCTACACAGGCCATTTCGTTACATTTAGATCTAATTCTACGTTTATTTCCCTGCAATTCATTAGTCGAATAAGCCGCATGGTATTCCGATCTATAGTCCTCTTCGATTAATGCAAGCACAATTGTCAAAGTCTTTCTAGATAATTTGAGACCGCATTGCCACCAAGTCTCATTCCCTAAAAATTTTTCGATACTCGCTCTCCGAGAGTTCCTTTCCAAGTGGCATTTGCAGTTAGCAAGAAAAGTATGATGACACAATTAGATTATTATAGAACACCAAGTAAAAATGAAAATGTTCACTATTCAACGGCAGACACTCAGGCGATGATAATTGCACATACAATTATTTTTTACTGAAGTACGCTCTTATTATACAACCGTAGGTAGAGACGAACGAAGAAGAAAGTATTTGATAAAGGGAAAGTATATATACATAAAAATATATTGTGGACCCAAATATAATTTACCGTTAATTTTTGAATGGAATAAATACAACTACAAGTGCATACATAATTATTGATCAGAGGTATATTAAAAGTTCAACATTGACCGGCAATTGAAGGTGTCACCTCTTGTTGAAAGAAAATGTTGTAGTAGAAGAAGTTAATTGCCTTGGAATAAATAAACTTTAATAATAATATCAACGTTACGAGAAAATCAAGCTCGAACCGTTGCAAGAATTCTACTTAGGTATATAATAGCAACACATCAGTGGATCCTTAAGAAATCTACTCCGCCAATCTACGATTGCGGACAAAACCTTACAGTCGAGCATATACTTTCTGAATGTCGGAATCTTTCTAATACTTGAAGATTAGTTTTCCATTCATCTAACCCACACACCTTGAACTTACCTCCGAGCCGATAGCCTTAGTTGCTAATGCTCGTTCTACTTTTAGTCCTAGTATTTCTTTCTTTCGCAATATTAATGAACTCAAACTTATATAGTAAGACCATAAAAATTAAGAATCGTCTAATTGCTCAGTTCGGCCATGTCTTTATAGTAACTGGACTTCGTGTGAATATACAAATATGTAGAAATGAATAGATTGAAGTTATCTGTAAAGTACTGAGTGGCCTTTTGTTTCCGTCCTAGGTATATAGCAATTAGGAGAACTGTTTCTTTCTTTTTAACGGATCAATAATTTTTATTGGTAAGGGATGAAAAATTACTATAGCCAGTGTCGAGGTATTAAAGTTGAATAATTAAATCCTAGCATATTAAAGCATCTCAAATCAAAGATTCGCCAAAACCGCTTAAGCTAGACAGAATGGTTATCCGTCTTCGTTCGTCTTTCCATTCCAGTTTTCCTTGTTAAAAGACTTGCAAGCATTGTGATAAACATCTGACAAACGCTAATTTAATTATATTCACAAATCAAATTTGAAAATGGATCCGCCTACAAGCCCAAGTAAAACTGAAACAGAAATAAAGAGAAAAATAAAATCCGCCCACATTCTATTTTTAAAATCTTATGAAATGAAGTCGAAAAGTTACAAAGAGGAATCTTTAGGTTATGTTCACGAACATCGTGTATAAAAGTACGAATAAGTCATCTACGAACTGAAGTAACCTAACATAGGGATGAAAGAATAAAACAAAAAGAAAATTGAAAAGCATTTTCACAAACAAGAAAATATGGTGTACGTGCATACACACACAAAGGCGTATGTATTTTTGCCATTTGGTTACAGGACTTAGAGCAGATATTAAGCTAAAATTTTCCGTTAAGTCCATTGGTAGACATCAGGACGGACATAATTGGCTTTTTATAATCAGATTAAATTAATTCATTATTATTGATGTACAGTAAAGAGCATAACATAATTCAGTTTAGCTGCCATAGTAACATATACCCATAAACGAAATGCTATCAGATAATTATTACTCTACGCAAAGGGATATTAATTCACATTTCTAGCACATACTTGTCACTTTCTATGTATTATGTGGTATCGAAATGTATTAACTAAAATCATTCGGTCAAAA